GCGATTTCAGAAAGGTGATTGGACTGCTGAAGAAGAAGAAAGATTGGTTGAAGCCCACAAAATTTTTGGCAACAAATGGATCGATATCGCTCAGCAACTTCCTGGACGGAACGAAAATACTATTAAGAACCATTGGAATGCCACAAAGCGTCGGGTGCATTAGATGAAACTTAAGGATGGTGGTGAAAATGCAAACCCGCCCCGCAACATCTTGGAGAACTACATAATTCATGTCGTAATCAACAATGCTCCTCCCAAGACCTTTGGAATTACATACACTAAGGATGATTATGACTATGAAAGTATTTCTGATGGAGAGATGAATCTAAGCATGAACGATACGACAAAAACCACTGAACGGTTGGTTGATGCATCATCAGATTATGTTTCGAAACCAACGGTGTTTTCATGGGAGAATTATTGTAAAAAGGTTTGTGAATCCATATATGAGACTCATAAACTCATGCAAGGATGGGAATGATTTTACGGTGAATGAAAGTTATCTGCTTGTTTCCTCATTGTCATGTCAGGTAGTATATCTATCTATATAGTTTTTACCAGACATATAATATACATGTTATGTTGTGTATTATTTTGGATGAGAGACCAATTATTTTTTTCAGATATTTTTTTTAAATAATACATTTTCATTTTACAATTGATATGCATATTTAAATCTTATATTAAATTAGAATTTCATTTTTTTTTTATACGTATAAGAGAAAGTAAGGCTTTTGGATCAACTTCTTCTCTAAAATAATTTTCTGCTATTTATTGGCACCAACATTACCTTATGTAAGCCAATAATAATGGTTTTGAAATCCGTGTATTACAGTAGAAAAATGCAAGATCATGATTTGATATAAAAACTTTGTGCAATTTAGAACGGTGAGAAAATTTTGAAATTCCAATTTGAAGTTAAAAAGTTGCAATCAAAACGTGGTGCAAAGATGATGTAGTCATATTTAAATGATAGATTTATAGTCATTATAAATTACTAACAATTTCGTATTTTCTCTATAAATAGAAAGCATTTTTCCTTGTACACACAGGAACAACACAAACAAATATATAAGAAACAAACCATTATTCTCTCCAAATCTTTTCTTATGTTCTTTAATCTTTATATCTTCTGATTTTAAGTTTGATTAGAGAAGAACATACTTTTAGAATCTATCCCCGGTCTCATGTCTGAAAGTTAGCTTAAGATGAAAACAGAATCTTATTGTAATTACTACAAATATCAGTGAATATCAACAAGTTAACAATTACACATTTTTACACTAGAAAACAACATTTTTTCTCATGTTTGTTTTCTTAGGTTGTTATATAAACCTCTTGCTTAGCTATAAAATATTTTCCAATAAGTGTCCTACTGACCATGTCGCCGTTGGATAGACACATTTGTCTCAAGCCAGGAGGGTGGTCACTTGAGTAACAATTTCACCACTTTGTCATGCAGGTCTAAGATTTCCTCAAGCGTTTGGTCTTTGAAAACTCTGCCTCTACCCATTGTCGTCGCTTGTACTTAGATTCTTTAATACGTTCATAAATACTAGCCTCTCTTTGTGTATGTTCGTCACTTGAGAGATGCGTCCTGAGTCTATCTAGGCTTTTGTAATCACAATCGAGGTTGCACAATCTGCAATAAAACATTCCGGTAGATTCAGATTCAGATTCAGCCCTTGCACTGCACTTTTGAAGAACGTGTCTTCTTTCACTGCATTCCTGAAGAAGGTGTCTTCTTGTCTCTGAAACTGCGAGTAAGCTATCCCAGAGGACAGACATTTTGCAAGGCCTAAATGAATAAGCCAGAAAAAGGTTGAATAAGAAGAAATCTTCCAGCTGATCGGATATGATCATCATTGTAGCCGGAGGAGGATTATCCCAACCCCATTGCAGCATATCTGAATACATGCGCTTGTAGTTGACATCGAGAATGCTATGTGCAACAGCGACTCCAGTGGAAGAGGAGGTGATCAGGGGTTTCTGTTTGGTCGCCATAGGCAGTGATGGAGACAGGACCAGAGTAGCCTAGATTCTTGAACGCCCCTACTATGCTCGGACGGACCCGACCAGCATCATAACACTCCGGAACCGGACAGTCCTTCATGTCCCACCACACCGCTATTTGAGCTGTCGCGTATTCAGGCTCGGCCGCACTGTTCATCGTCATCATCCTCTCTAGACCTAGATCCACAAATCACGAAACTATGTGATTTTTGCTACTGAATATATATATGTGGAGAACTTGTAACTCTCAATTAACAATTAATTAAAAAACGACCCCAGAAAAACAATTAATTAAAAACAAGACCGTCTCTGTTCGACGGTTCCATCTTTGCAAGTTCCATTGCTCCAAACCCTTAAACCCTGATTCAATTAAACCCTAAATGGCCAAATGGAGACTTGCGACTGCGACGCTCCGTTCATATCTCCGATCCCCATCGCCTACTATCTATGCGGTCAGGAATCCGACCAGAGCCTTGTCTGGGTCTAATCAATGTCGTAGCTACAGTACATCTCTCGCCGATGATGATCCGAGAGGCAAATGGCTAACTCTACCTCCTTTTTCTACCACCGTCGATGGCTCCGCACTAGGAAAAGAGCTACTTTCCAACGGAGATTCCGTCAAAGGTTCAACGGATGGCTCAACGACGGCTCTTAGGTGGATTCTTCGTTGTCGTCCCGATTTACCCAGGAACCTAGTACTGAAACTGTTTCGTTTAAGACAGGTTCTTAGTTCTCTTCCAATCGTTCTTCAACTCCCTAATTCCCTCTCCTCGTGGTCAATTTCTTACCATTGTGATTGGATTCAGGTTAGAAGAGAAATGTCTTTGAGTTGTGATGGTGATGAACTACAAAGAAGCCAACTTAAAAGGGTAAATTGTTCTTTCTTTCATCTATTGATTGGAACACAAACTGGGTTTTTTAAGTAGCTGATGATGGTCTTTGATTTTGACGCTTGAAGGTGGCAGCTAAGGAATCATTGATGGTAGGAGATAGAATATACCTTCCTTTATCGGTAGACAATGATGCGCCGCCGCCTGCTATGAAAGAAAGCTTTCATTGTAGTGAGGAAGAACGCAAATTCGTTTGCAGTTTGGTGTTGTACAAGGTTTTGACTCTTGGTTCGCTTTCGTTTAAGCAATGATGTTATATAGATTGATTAATCTAAACTGTGAGTTAATGTGCCAGGATCCAGCCATTATTGTTTTGAATAAGCCTCATGGTATGGCTGTTCAAGTAAGTCGTTTATATTTCTTGTATTCTGATGAATTGTGTATTATGTTCATGGAGTTTGTGAAAACTGATGTGACCTTTTGCTCTGAATTAGGGTGGGACTGGGATCAAAACCAGTATCGATGAACTCGCTGGCACTTGCTTGACTTTTGATAAATCAGAATCTCCCCGGCTGGTTAGTCGAGAATCATAGTTCTTGCACTGATTTCTAAAAGAAACTGTATGATATATTTTTGTTGAACCTAGTTAATTTGAAAAGTATGTATCTTTTGGCTTAATGCAAGGATGTTATATGTATTAGGTGCACAGGCTTGACAGAGACTGTAGTGGACTTTTGGTGTTGGCAAGAACACAGACGGCTGCAACAGTTCTTCATTCAATATTCCGCGAGAAAACAACTGGTGCATCCGCATATGTAAATCCTCTGCTTTCTCTCAGAGCTTTTCATTACTTAAGAAGCTTTCCTTGTCATGATTAGTGAGACATCCACATAAGTTTCCCTTTCACTAACTTTCCTTTTATTTCTTAGGGTGTCAAAAAGAACATAAAATCTTTGAAAAGAAAATATTTGGCACTCGTGATCGGATGTCCAAGACGTCAAAAGGGACAGATTTCAGCGCCACTCAGAAAGGTCACTCTACTCTCTGCTTTAGCTAGAAACTTTCACACCTGAGTTTTAGTCCATTTGGCTCAATCTATAAATTTGATTTGTTTGTACACATTCACTCCATTTCTTTATTGGAGTTTAAAGTCTTAGCTTAAACATATGTGGAATGTCTGAGTAGGTGGTTGTGGATGATGGAAAATCGGATCGTATCACAGTTAATGACAATGGAGAACTCGTTTCTACTCAGCATGCTATCACCGAATACCGAGTGATTGAAACTTCACCAAATGGTTAGTGTGACAAATGACTTTGTTTTCTTTTCAGCTAAACTTAAATAAAATGATCTAGCCTTGAGTTTGTAACCGCATTGTTGATTTGTAGGATACACATGGCTTGAGCTTCGGCCTTTAACCGGGAGAAAACATCAGGTCTCTATAAATTTTCAGTTTCTATCTCAACAATTTTCTCTCTTTTTTTACGTTCAATTAACAATCCGTTTTCAACTGTTCTTCGATTGCAACAGCTCCGTGTACATTGCGCAGAAGTTCTAGGAACACCGATACTCGGGGACTATAAATACGGTTGGCAATCTCATAAATCCCGGGAACCTTTTGTATCTTCCGGGAACACCCCGACCAAGCCACCATCATCGTCTCCTTTTGGCTTGGATCTGGAAGGTGGAGATGTGTCTTCAAAACAGCCACACCTTCATCTCCATTCAAAGCAAATCGATCTGCCAAACATCTCTCAGCTCTTGGAGAAAATGCAGGTTTCTTCAGATTCTGATATTTCGGATATCGATAGCCTTAAATTCGATGCTCCATTGCCTACTCATATGCAGCTAAGTTTTAACTTGTTGAAATCTAGAGTTCAAACTTGTGACAATTGTTAGATTTTGTTATGAGTTTGTTTCTTTTTCTTACCAACCTTGCTTCTTTGTTTCCTTGAGGTCCCAAATTGGACCTGAATATTCTCAAACAAAGAGAAATCATTATATTTAAATTCATTTTCATATAGACCTTGCATAATTGTTAATCTCATTATAAACACGTTTAGTGTGATGAGTGATGACCAAAGAAGAAAACACAATCAGTGTGTGTTTTAGATTCGATTCCCTTTTGTATTTACTTGTCACTGTAGCTTGTTTGACTCCAGATAAGCAGCTAACTTTTAGAGTCTAGTGGTAGATATATTACTAAGAGACTTTTGTAGTTTATATAATAAGATCTAATTGGATATAATTAAAATAGAGTAGTAATTATCTTTCTGTAGATAATGTTTTAGTTGTTAATTAACTAAAAAATCTGTTTAACCTCAGGAAAGCTAAAGGGGGTAACGTCACCTATGAATAATAACAGTGAATTAATACTACTTAACCGAAACAAAGACTAATTGGATTTTTTATGGGAAAATCACATAAAAACTCTTCAAGATGGTTGACACTTACACTTTAAACTTTCAAGGTTTTTTACTATCAGTTTAAACCTCCAAGATCGCAATATTGACATTTTAAACCTCTAAGATGGTATTTATGTACGCGCCGTCAAATTTTTTAACGGAAGTGTTTATTATTCGTTTAAAAATGATGACGTGGCTTTTTTATTTATTTTTAACTAAAAATAATAATTTATATATTATTTTTAATTCATT